AAATACAGAGGTGGCTCAGGAAGCGGGGCATTCAGACACTGAGATGCAGGGCGGCAGGGGTCTGACAAAGACACAGAGAGGCAAACTCAAGAGATAGGAGGAACGGACACAGAATGACAGAAAAGCCCAGAAAGGCTCAGAGATGAAGCCCCAGAGAAGAGAGATGCGGAGCACTGAGGACAAGAAGTAGAGTCCTCTGAGCAGACAGTGGCCTTTGCAGCTTTTTGACCATCGGAAATAAATCACAGTTCTAGATTGTTCTGCGGCTCACAGAGGTAGTAAGGGAAGAAAGAGAGCTCAGGGCGGTATGCTTGATACAGGCAGGTTAGCAAAGAGGCCTGGGTGCAAAAGAGAACTCTCGGGGAGAGGCGGTCAGTGACCACCCAGGGTCTAGCAGCACACCCGCTGGCCCCACATGGAACCTGGGCCACCCGCCCAGGATGGCCGGCAGCCCGCCTGGCTCCAGTCTGATTACAGCCAAAGTGCCAAAAGGCTCTGAACCCTCAGTGCTCCGCCTCCGTGGTCCCGCCTCCCCCAGTCTTATCTCCTCCATCCTGATCTGCCTTCAGTCCCTCGCTCAGTCCCCTGGAGAGTGGTTCACCCTGTTTAGCCACTCGCTGAGAGGAAAGGGGTGCTGCTCCCCACAAGCAAGCCATCCTGGATCTGAGGCTGGATTCTCCTTCCCTCTAAAGCCTGTTTGGCCTGGCCTCTTTGAGACACGTTCCACCTCTCGCCTGGGAGCTCATAAATACCAAGGAGAGGCCAGCCAGGCTGTGCACAAAGCGTAGATCTCCATGCTCCCCCACCCCACCCCCCAAAAGCCCCTGGGGTTCTTCCCAAGCTCTCTTCTTTTCCCCAGACACCTGCACAGAGCAGCATGGCAGGAGGTAGGGCACTAGGGGCCTGTGTGAACCTGGCCCCAATTCAAATGAGATTTGCCTTGGTTTGCAAAGCAATCTCAGGAAAGGCTTCTCAGGGCCCCTCGTGCAAGTAGCAGGCTCAGGAATTCCTTGACTCCTATCCAACCCGCCCCCCCAGCCCCTTCTTGGCCTTTCCCTCTGCTTATTACCATCCACACCACCACCACCACCCCCCACTGGGAAAGAGAAGGTCATGGACAAGGGGCCCAAGGAAGGAGGGCCTCCTGGAAGATAGACCAGGGTGGGGTAAGAGCTGTTCACCCACCCCGAGCTCCCTTTAGTTCACCTCCACTCCAGTGAAATTCAGTCGTTCAGCCCCACACAGCTTAGAATGGAACACAAGGTGAGTCCTAACTCCAAGTAACCTCCCTGGGGAGGAGAGCACTGAGGTGATCACCAAGGGCCAGATGGGACCCCTCCCCTATCAACCTTCCTTGGATAGGCAGGAGACTTGGAACATACCTGTAGCCCCAGAAGTTTGGGAGGCTGATAGGCATTTTGGGTAGCTCAGGCAGACCCTGTCTCAGAGTGAAAATTGGGGGAGGGCTGGTAGGGTGGCTCAGGGATACAGCACCCCTGGATGCACTTCCCAGTACTGGGAAGAAAAAAAAGAAAAAGGAAGAGAACAAAGAGGAAAAGCAGGAAGCTGGGCTGCCACCCCAGGAGAGAAGGGAGGCTCTGCTGCCTGGCAGCTGGAGGTCCTGGGGAATCTGGCAGGCACAGCCACAGGGCAGGTGTGTGCGCATGCCTGCGTGCCTGCATCCTTCCTTAGGTCGCTGCTGCTGCTGCTGCTGCTGCTGTTGCTGCTGCTGCTGCTGCTGCTGTTGCTGCTGCTGCTGCTGCTGTTGCTGCTGCTGCTGCTGCTGCATCCAGCAGCATATTCTATGTCTGCCGCACACAGCCTTGAACTCCAACAGAGCCTAGCACACTACCCTCGGGCAGCTTTATCATATTGTATTTGCAAGAAAATGTCTGGGGGAGTAAGATGTTTTCCTCTTTCTATTACTCAGGGTGCCCTAGCCAGTGGTGGACCTGGAGCCGTTCATCCTAAGTGCTGTCCCACACTTGCAGGTCCTCTAAAACAGTACTCAAATCACTCCCCCCTGGTTCCCTTAACCCAGAATGGGAGGGAGGGAGGGAGGGCGGAACAAGCTGGACCAGGTCAGGAGTTAGTCTGAGTCTCAGGCCTTGACCCCCTGCCTGAAAGCCTCATAACAGGCCCTTGCGTGAGGAGCAGAGCCTTCCAATAGTGTCTAGGACCTTGAGACTGGAAGTTTATTTTGAGACTTGAAACTCCGAAGTGGCAGATCCCAGAAAACCTCTTCTCTGGCTCCGTATTTGTCCTCTAGTTAAGTGGTTGAGTGCAGCGCTTGCAGTCAGCTGCCTCCTGCAGTTTAGGGTTCTTCCCAGGGCTCTGTGGACTGGGGAAGGGGGAAGGGCACGGAGGAACCAAGCTGCATCCTGACCTGCCCACTCTAGAGCAGAGGTGCCTGAAAGCTTTGGGGAGAAGTCTTGTCCCCTCCTCCCAGAGATGTTTCTTAGGGGTCCTCTCAGCTCAGAAATAGGCTTTAAGAGTTGAACATCTATGTTGTGCCAAGGCACGGTCCTACTTAACTATGAAGACAGCTGAAGCCAAAGAAAGGGCTTCAGAACTGAGTTTGGGTCCTCCATGGGTAAGTCCATCCAAGGTTAGATGTGCAGCCCTCCACCCCAGGGGCCTATGAGAAACACACAGCCAGTCACACCCAGGTCTAAATGCAGGGAGTCTGGGAGCAGCACCCAAGCTGGAAGACAATGAAAGGGCGGTGCAAGGAAGGGCCTGGTGGGAATGAGCCTGGCTCACTCCTCTCTCACCTGTTCTGCTCGGAAACCTGCTGTCCTAGAATCTGTGCCTTCCTAAGGACAATGCAGGCCCACTAGAGCCCTGCCTGGAGGGAAGAGAGAAGGGAAGGGTGGCCCTGAAGGGACGCTGGCTGTCCTCTCGGACAGCATGCTGGCTCTCCTTGGTCTCTCACTCCCTTCAGGCTCCAGTGGTAGGAACCTTCTCCCCTCCATCCAGACTCAGGCTGAAGTCCCTTCCTCCTCAGTAGCTTGCTGGGCTGCCCTTGGCCGACCCCTGGCTAGCCCCTTGTGCCAGCCCCCTCCTATCTTAGGCCAATTTACTCCTTGATTCCTGTGGGGATGCTCTTCACTGGACTCCGCCCAGCTTGTTTCCTCATGCCCTTAAATCCCTCCTGCCCTGATCTTCCTTACAAGTGTGACCCCTCTCTCTAGCCTGTTCTGTTTTTCCCTCTGCAGTAACCACGTTCTAATATACTATATGTTTATTATTGTCACCCTCTAACAAACTGCAAACTACATGAGGCAGAAACGTGCTTTGCTTCCTGATACACAGCAGTGTTGGTCCTAGCATGACAGGCAATAAGCACATCATTGTGGAATTGGCCACTGTGCCGAAACTCTTACCACAGAAAGTAGGGGCAAAGGAGTGACCAGAGAAGGGATAAAGGTCCCCGCGGACCTTCTCCTCATGTCTGTCTCTGTGACGACTGCAGCCAGATGTGCCCAGTTGGATCATACTCTGGTTTTCTAACCTCCTCAACCCCTCCAACAAGGACTGATATGGAGGGCTTGGGGTTAAGGAAGGTGGGCAGTTACCAGTGTATTATTTACACCGTGACTTGGGGGAGGGGTTGTTTGGTTTTTTAAATTCTAGGGATTGAACCCTGAGCCCTCCTCATACTGAGCTACATCTCCAACGCATTTTTATTTATTTATTTATTTATTTATTTAATTTTGTTAAATGGACAGGGTCTCACCACGCAGCCCAACCGGCCTCGCGATCTTGGTGATACGGCCGCTATAGCCTCTCGAGGGCTGGAATTAACAGGTGTGGGCCACCACACTGGCTTCAGGACTTTGCAGGCTAGCTCTATCACCAAGGAGCAGAAGCATGAAAGACACCTGGGGATGTGGGGCTAGGCAGGAAAAACGAAGGTTGAGGAAGAGGTTAGGGCCAGAACCCTATTGCACTCTCAAAGTTAGAAGGCCCTGAGCTTTAAAAACAACTTTCTGTTCTCGGCAAGGGCCTTTCTGCCCCAAGGGGGCTCTACTTGCTAGCCTGAGAAATGGGGGGAAGGGGTACGGTGGGGGTGAACTGAGAGAGGAGAGGGAGTCACTTTGAGCACCCCTTCCCGATTTACCACGCCCCCGGCAGTGTGTGGGGCGGGGTGGGGGTAGCAGAGAGGAGGAAGGTTGGAAAGGCATCGAGGGAAAATGCTCCAGGGCTTCCACGCTTTCAGCAGGCCTCCCACCCTGGCCTCTGCTGCGGGAAAACCGCCCAGCTGTTTCTGATTCTTGGCTACACTCGGCCCCGCCCGAAGGGTGGCGGACCGAGACACCAGGCGAGCTGGGAGCCCGAGCTGGGCCATCGCTGCAGGAAGGGGCCGGGGTCCGCGCCCGGACTGCAGGTGTGCCGCCTCGGCCTTCGACTGGTGGGGGGGCACCTGGCGCGGGCAGCTGGGCTGGGTGGGAGCCAGGGCCAGATGTGGTGGAGAAAGGAGGCTGGGCGGTCAGAAGCAGCAGAGGTGTTGGCCTCCAGGCGAGAGAATCCGCTGCCCTCGGTGCCACTCTAAGAGAGGCAGATAAGGGAGCCAAGGAGCTCCGCGCTAGTTTCTACCCATTTCACGGAAATGCGAGCGCTGAGCGGACCGGAGAATTGAGCGCGTCTTCTGCGTGCACTGGGTCTGGGCGCAGGGGGGCAGCCCCCAGCCCCCTCCCCCGCACGCGCCGGGCCCTACCCGCAGCCGTGAGGGCCAAGTGAGGGGCGCTAGGACCCGGCGGTGCGGCGTCGGTAGGGACTGGGCGCTACCGGCTCGCTGCGCCCCGTCGCGCCCGCCAGAGCAGGTGGGGGCGCGGCGCGGAGCCCC